TCCTTGTACTGGACAGCGAAGGAGTCAAAGTGGCCCTGGGGGACGGTCCAGGAGAGGCTCAGGGAGTCTGGAGAGGATCCTGTCACGGTCAGCTCTCCCAGGCGCGGCTCCTCAGGGGGCTCTGGTGCCTCTGTGCTGGGCTCTGTGGGGCTGGGCGTCTCTTCCTCTGTAGCTGAGAGAGGGAGACGGAGAGGGTGAGGCAGGAGCCCCAGTGATGTTCTTGCTCTTGGGAGGACATAGATGCCATGACCACAGAGGTCCTACGGTCCACTCAGAGAAGGGGTGGTCCTTTTCCGTGGACATCTGACAGACACATGCAAGCTTCCAGGTCAGCTCTGAAGAACCCAGACAAGCACCAGCATATGGGCAAGTCCCCCATAGACCCTCCTTGTCCAGGAGGTCAAGCCTAAGAGAAGGCATAAGAAGGCATACAGAGGTCACAGCCCTACCAACAAGCAGGCTGTGGGGTGATCGGTTCCCAGTCACCATCGTCTGCTCAGCTTTTGTCATCAAGGAAGAAGGTTTCCCTTTTACTTGTCACATCCTGGCACTCACCCGTCCACTCACCCGTCACCCCAATGGCAGACACGGGGCCTGTGCGCTGGCCGCTGTGGAAGCCATACAGGTTCATCTTGTACTTGTGGTCTGGCTCCAGGCCTGAGATGGTGACCTGGTCCTCATGGCCTGGCACCCTCACCACCTTGGGCTGCCCGTCCCCGTTCCTGTACTGCAGCAGGAAGTGGTCAAACTGTCCCTCGGGGACCGTCCAGGAGAGGCTCAGGGAGTCGGGGGTAGCATCTGTCACGGTCAGCTCCCCCAGGCGAGGCTTGGGGGGAGACTCGGGCGTTGTGGTGGGCACTGCTTGGGTGCTCACAGCTTGTTCCTCTGGAGATGGACAAACAGACAGAGACACACACAGGGACAGGTGAGGTCTCCTCCATTCTCAGTGCAGCACATAAAGGAGCATTTGCAAAAACCAATCCCTGAAGAGCAGGACGAGGCTGGCCACTGGACTGTCACACTCCCCTTCAGCTCCTTCCTGTCACCTTCCTGACACTCTTCCCTGCCTATCTGCCCTCCATCTCCCAACCCCCAGGTCACTTCTCCCCCTCCTTCCATCACCCTGATTTTTGAGACGTCCTACCTTGCTCCTGCCTCTGCATGTACTTGCCCTGGGTCTCCTTGCCATCTCCTGTTCATCTGGCTCAATCCTCTGCTCCCAAGCAGGCTCAGAACACCGGTCACCATGCAAGAAGTTGAACCTTCCCCTTTCCCTGCTGATACCATATTCACCATATATCCTAGACTTTTGCTAATCTTCTACCACCTCCTCACATCCCATCTCCTCTGCCTTGAGGACCTGGTGTGGGCCACTATCTCTTCCTCAGGCTCATATCCCCTCCCTCCCACCCAGCCTAGGTTCCCATGGCAGCTGAGCTTTGCACATTCAAGCACTTCAGGCATTCATGCAAGCAATCACTGTGGACCAGACCTGGTTCTCAGGTGCACCCACTCTCTACCTACATTTCAAGAACTTTCTGTGGCTCAGAGGACATCACACTAACTTTTCTGTTCTTTTGTGTGTCGTGTCGTTGCTGTCCTCCTGTGCCTTGTACCAACTGAGATGCTGACCTGACACACGCTTTCTTTAGCTGTCACCAAGCTAATGCATGCCAGACCTGAGATTCAACTGTCCCCTGGGTTAGTGCGTACAGGATGACTTAGGCCTCCCTGTCCTCCTGTCTGTGCTATCATCAATTCATTCTGGGTGCTATGTTTGCTGGTCGATGGTCTGTTTTCCTGTGACTGTGGGCTCCATTGCTCAGTAATATGGCAGTCTGCCATAGTCAACTTCTCCTCATTAGACAGTGATGATATCCTGGCACCAATATCATTGTTCGTATGTTTTGATATAGTTGAGTCATAATTTTGAAAAGATCCTAACTATGAGGTTTCTGAGTATGCAGTCAATAGCTGAATGTCTTCCCTCTTCTCTCCTGGACTCTAGTTGACAACATGGAGTCAGATACTCTTGTGAGGGATCAGGGAGCAACATGTTGCCTCCAAGGTAGGATCCTATTCCTTTGTTATAAGGAGCTTTCTACCCAAAGGCTGACCCATACACCAGCATTGTCAGCATTACAATTGCTACTTTGGATCTTGAGTGTCCTCCAAAGATCCCTGGTAGCGATATTAGGAGGTGGGTGAATCTTTAAGAGGTGGAGCCTGGTGAGAGATCCTTAGGTCATTGGTGGGGGGTGTGCCCTTGAAGGGAACAGTGGGAGGGAACAGCTTCCTATTTCCTTATCTTTTTCCTTTTTTTGCTTCATGGCAATGAGGTGGGTGGTTTTGTTCCACTATGATTCCCTCTCATGATCTTCTGCCTCCCAACAGCAAGCCTAAGAGCAGTAGAGCCAACAAAGCATGGCTTGGAACCCCTAAGTTATCTCAAATGTTTCTTTTTGTAGGGGGGAGGGAAGTAAGCAAACATGAGTCTTGTTAGGAATACACAATATCAGACTTGGGCTGGGAAGGTGGCTCAGTGGTAGAGCGCATGCCTTGCACACATGAGGCCCTGGGTTTGATTCCTCAGCACCACATAAGCAAAAAGAAAAAAGCCGGAAGTGGT